TTTTTTTTTTATTAGAATATTGTATCGCTATTTTTTTTTTAATTATTTTCATTGAACAAAATCCCCCCCCCCCCCCCCCAACAGAAACGAAATCCGCCGGCGAGCCTAAGGAACGAAATGAAATCCATCCCGATCGGTGACCAAATGTCAGACGAAAGTCGACGGCCAGAAAAGAAGGTCATGCGGTTAAATGTGAATGACCTTGCTAGGGACAGGCCTGGGGGGGGGGGGGATCTAGCTGACCTTCGCCGGGGAGGGGGGGGAGGAGGTAAGGGTTGAGAATGAGGAGGTGGAGTAGGAGGAGGAGAAGAAGAAGAAGAATTTGAAAATGAAGATTAAGGAGATGGAGATGGAATTGGAGATGGAGATAAAGATGAGGAAGAAGAAGGAGAAGAAAGTGAAAATTAAGGTTAAGATTAAATTGTGATGCAAGATGCAAGAGAAAATGAAGGAGAAGAAGAAAAAAATATGTATAAAAAAAGAAGGAGGAGGAGGAGGAGGAGGAGGAGGAAAAAAAAAGAAAGCGAAAAAAGACAAGAGGGAAGAAAGAATAACAATAGGAGGAGTAGGAATAAGGGATTGTGATAAAATTCAACGGAGAGGAATAGGGGATAAGGGAACTTGATTATGCAAGATGAAGAACGCCCTCCCCCCCCCTATCCTTTTTTGGTAGTGGTGGGGGGGGGGTATGGTTGATGATGACACGAATAATTTTTTTATGTATGTGAAGATGGCGACGTGATGCCTATGGAGATCATTATATAGCTCGTGTTTTTTGTTTCGATGCCTGACCCCTCCCCCCTTTATTTTTTTTTGGGGGGGAGAGGGGGTTATAGTCGAAGATGACATTAATTGATTTTTTTTTTATATGTGAAGATGACGGCGCCGTGATGATGACCTTTTCCGATGATTATGCAACACGTCTTTGGGTTTCGATCTGTTCTCGATTAAAAAAAAAAAAAAAAAAAAAAAAAATCTGGGTCGCTGGTGATATTAAGGAATTTGAAAATGTGTTGATAAGAACAATTGATAAACTGATCGATGTATGGATTGATAGATAAAGGATGGGTGGATGGATTGGTGTTTTTTTTAATGATGGGTTAGTGGATGGATAGATAACTAAAAGGAAGAATAGATTGTTGGATAAATAGACAGGTAGATATTTAGACAGGTGGTTGTTTAGTCAGATTGTGAGACAGATATTTAGACTATCAGTCATAGAGAATTAGATTATGAGAGAGATAAGTAATTAGACTGATTATTAGACAGATAAATGACTAGATAGATTATTAGGCCGATCAATTGATGGACAAATACCAAAATAAACGGACTAATAAACAAACAGACGAGATAGATGAGGTTACCACCATGACTTGCTTTTCCATTATGGGAATCTATTCGCCTTGTAATAACCTCTTCGGAACACAATGTCAGAAGCGAAAGTCTGTTTGTTTTCCCCGTCAGCAGAAGAGGGGTCGTTTTCTACTGGCCTGACCTTCATAGCGGGTCAATACAAGGGGATAGCATGACATGCAACTTGGGTCATGGGGCACGGTGGGGGGGGGGGTTAGGAACTTTACGCACATGCTAACACGCATACGCACAAGTACTCGCGCAAGCGCATATTTTTTGACACACGCACACGCACACACACACGCACACGCACGCACACGCACACACACACACACACGCGCGCGCGCATACAGAGAGAGAGAGAGAGAGAGAGAGAGAGAGAGAGAATAGAGAAGGATACTATATTATTAGCAATATGAAGGTAGACGAATGAAAGTATAATAATAAACATCCTTCTGTAAGTTGCCTTTGTTAATATGGAATTCATATGTTATTTGCTATATCTATGGAATGTGTTGTTATTCAATTATTTTTATTGTGGGTATTGATGCTGCTGATGATCTTTGTTTCAGGTATTTTTTTATTAGCATTATCAATTCTGTTTTGTTACTATTATTATTATTATTATTATTATTATTATTATTATTATTATCAGCCTTTATCATCTTTGTGACTTTTATTGCGAATGTTGCTGTGCCATTATTGAATAATTTTCATGACTACAATTGTTGTTATTGTCATATTCATTATGGTAATTTTAATAATTATTATCACTATTATCATCATTACTAGTCCAACAATCTCCTCCGCCATTATCATTATTATCACATAAATCACAAAGTAGGAAATGATAAAATAACAGAAAACAGCACGATGTCCAGCGTTTCTAACCAATGTTCTCTTTCGTTCTCTCCCCCTCTCCCTCCCCACACCTTTCCTACCTCTCCCTTCCCATTTTCCCCTTCCGTTCTCATCTCCTTCCGTTCCCACCCACCCCTTTCCCTCTATTCTCCCTCTTCCTCCCTTCTCTTCCTTTCTCTCCCTGACCTCTCCCTCCCTACCCCTTCCCTTCTCCCTCCTCCTCCCTTCCCTTCTCTCCCCCTCCTCCTCCCTTCCCTTCTCTCCCTTCCTCCCCCTCCCCCCGCAGGTGTGTGGAGCAGCTGGAGTAGGAGAGCGAGGAGACGCGAGGTGGCGAAGCGGTGCAACACAGTGGACTCCTGATGGTGACCTCACGTCACCTATGTTGAGTCTGCGTCTCGTTTCCACAAGGTCACTCAAACAGCCGTAGACAGCTGCCATCATGTGCCGTGACAGAGATATGAACCCTTAACTCATTTTTTATCAAGCCCGCCCAGTTTTTATTCCCCCTTTCAAATAAAGAAGAAGCAGAGAGAGAGAGAGAGAAATATCCACCACTGCAGCTACACCATCACGCCCCTCTTTGGAATCAATCTTGGATATTATTTTTCAAAAGGACGTCAAGCATTCAAGCAAGCAAGCAGCAAGTAAGCAAGTGATCCCAAGAAAGCATTTGTTTACATCGCTTTTACACCGCATAGACACTCGCTGAGTCTCTGGTATATAAGTATATATATATATATCTGTCTGCATATTTTTCAGTGTCGTTACATCAGTGTACTGCCAAGTGCTTCCTTTCGCACCACTGTCAAAAAAAGAACTTGTGTTTTATTTCATTTAATTGAGGAACTGTTTTCGACCACTTTGGACGTGCATGTGGCGCGAGAGAGTGAGCTTCATCGAGCTTTGCTGAGGAAACAAAAATAAACCACAACAGCTGAAATAAAAACAACAACATTGCACATCTCTTTGGTTTGTCTTGGGAGGATCTAAGACACCTGAAAAAGATCGTCGTCTTTTCTTGCTGTTTCACTGTTTCATCTTCGTTTCTTTGTTCGTTCGGCCTTCAAGCACAAAAGAAAAACGTTCCTCGGACACAAGAGCAACAACAACAACAACAACAACGACACACAAGAACGCCCAATAAAGATAAAGCACAAAGTCAAAGGAGAGAAGGATAGATAGATACGAAAGAGAGTAAGAGAAATCTATAACATCGACCTGTAACAAATTAAAAGCATAAAAAAACAAGTAATAACGGAAAGAAAAGTTAAACCTATTCCGAAGAAGAGAAAACAAAAAAACGCACCAATAAAATAAAATAAAAAAAGATTTACTCAGTTAAAAGGTCACAACCACATCTACTGATTCATCCTCCTTACAGACAGCAGAGCACTTGCTTGTTTGAGTTAGACCACCGCGAGCAATTTACTGGGTCTGAGGCATAAAAAAAAAAAATAGACGCAACGCTTTTCATTAAACCAAAAACAAAAATATATAAATAATAGTCATCAAGAACTGACCGACACCGCTTCCACTTCCCCGACTATAAAGTGAAACACACACGTCTCCGCAGTTTTAATTTTTTCAAAGTTTTGGGCGAGATCTCTGTATAAATGTGTATATAATGTAAAAAAAAAAATATATTAACTAAGACAGACACCGATGCTTTAATGAATATATGTGATATTAAAAGAGAAAGGTTATTAGGAAACTGAGTAAGGAATTCTTTCAACAGTCTCTTAGAGATAACAAAAAAAAGGTTTCGAAAGAAGTATACATAGATATATATCTCTATATATAATAAAATTGGCCGTGAAAAAAGAAATATATATATATATTTTTTATTTGTTGAGTAGCCTCATCTTCCGACAAGTGTTGTGAATCGCAGAGAAGAAGAAGAAGAAAGGGAAAAAATACAAAAAAAAAAAAAAAAAATACAAAAAAGAAAAGTCCACAGTGTAGAAAAAGCTCCTAAACCACAAAGAAGAAAAAACGTAGAAGAGGAAGAAGAAGAAAAAAAAAAATAGAAGAAAAAAGGTCCACCAAAGAAAGAAAACCTTCCCCCCCCCCTACCGAACGTTGTGCCAAAACAAGAAAAAGGAATAAACAGACGAGACGAGAAACGAGTGTTTTCTTGACGTCGACAACGGCGGTTCACGTGCAATCGGTGAGTACTTTTTAATTTTCGTAAATTTTAAAAATTATTCCTTCATTTATCAACTTATTATTTATCTACTCTTCTTTCTTGGAGGCAGTTGGCAGCCTGAATACCCTTTACTATTTCTGTAACTATTTTTTTCTCTCTCTCTTCCCCCCCCCCTATTTATAAGTAGCAGGTAAGTACCTTTCCATTACTACGTTGATTAATAGAATTATCCTATTCTCTTTCCTGTCTATTTATGGGAGTGTGCCTTTTTTCTCTTCTCCTTTTCGCTTTCCTTTCTCTTTATGTGCCTTTTTTCTCTTCTCGTTTTCTCTTTCCTTTCTCTTTATGTGCCTTTTTTCTCTTCTCGTTTTCTCTTTCCTTTCTACTTATGGGAGTGTGCCTTTTTTCTCTTTCCTTTCTCTTTATGGGAGTGTGCCTTTTTCCTCTTCTCCTATTCTCTCTCCTTTCTACTTATGGGAGTGTGCCTTTTTTCTCTTCTCCTTTTCTCTTTCCTTTCTACTTATGGGAGTGTGCCTTTTTTCCTCTTCCTTTTTTTTTTGTTGTTGACAGCCCGGAGTCTCCTTTCGGACGTCCATTACCCATTCCTCCTTCGGCGTCTTCGTTCACGCTCCCTCCTCGA